AGTCCACACAGTTCCCAAGGTTGAGAAATACTGGGTTAGAGTCTTGGAAATGCCTCTGTCCCCTGCAACAATTCTCGATTTTAAGCTCTGAATTTCAGTCCTTGCAAGGAGGGGGCCCACAGCTGGCTGATTGTGACATGGGGGGAACCACAATTCTCTTGAGTCTTTGATCCGTGAACTTTTGGCAAGGATTCCTCAGTCTCCGTCGCAGCCTAGAAACAAAGCCGTAGCCAGGATGGGACCAGCAAATGTAGAAATGCAAATTGGTTCTCCCAACCTGGTATTTTATTTAAAAACAACCACAATCCCCCCCTCCCCAGCCTTTTAAAACCTTTACAAATCTATGACCTGCCAAGTGCCAACTAAAGAAGGAGAAGCTGCGTTTAGAATTGGCAAGCATCTCATACAAGATACGTTCCCCCAAATTGTGCATGACTAACAGAAAGAAAGAAAATTCATCATAGCAAAAAAAAAATTTCCCCCCACATCTAACGGGGCTTACCCAGCCCTCTTGAGTTAATAACAAGATGAACATGATGCTTAAAAAATAAACCCGAAATTACTTAAACTTGAAACACGGGAACCAGTTCTGGCACTATATTAGAGGATTGTCTCTCAAAACTAATTTCCTTCGTGTTTGTATCTGTTGTCGGGCTAAGGAACAATTGCCAAGGTGTTTCATTTAATTAATTTTTTTTTGGGTAGATACAGTGTGCTTCTTCAGGCTCCCTGTTACTAAGACCCACATCTGAATGACTTTCCATGCGTTGGCAACAGTTCTGTAAAGGGGCATCTTCATTGACTGCAAGGAAGGGAAGGGAACCCTGATTGGCCAGGTTACCGATAGGAACAGTGATTGGCCAGATAGAAAGCCTGATTGGTCAGGTTACAGATGGGAACTGTGATTGGCCAGGTTACAGATGAGAACAGTGATTGGTCAGGGTACAGATGGGAACCCTGGTTGGCCAGGTTACAGATGGGAACCGTGATTGGCCCTCTCGGCCTCAGCAAATCATACAACAGTAACTCAGGTATGTTGACAGAATGAGCAATATCATTGCGGGTGGGGGGGGTACAAGTAACCCCCCATGTTGCCATCAGTCTCCTTGCACATTCAGAAGTGGCTATCTGAAGAGGTCTCTAATGCGGGAATGTCCGCATTCTTTCTCCATTGCTAATTCAACAACATCACCATTTCTGTTACCAACAGCATTGCGGTTCTTCAGCCTTTTTGTGAAGTTGCTGCGCACGTATCTTGACCAATAAATAAGCCGAACCGTCCATCCCATTGACAGAGATTTAACCAGGGCAGAGAGCTGAATCCCCCAAGGATTGACAGGTCTAGCAAAGCATATTTCACATGATATCTTCACAAGGTGAATCCCTCCCAACTAGAAAAGGCTGATGGTTTCTGTAAAGACCCACCAAGAAACTTAGGAGAAGTTGCTGAGGGTTTTCGTAACAGAGTGGCGTTGTTACTGGCAGACCTCTCCTTGCTTGGGGCGGGGGGGTCATGCCTAAGCACCATGCTCCTATTTTACAGAGGATAATCCTTTATTTGAAGGGCTCTGCCTGTCAGGTTAAAAATACAGAATCATGAGATGTCGGACTTGATGCTGCATCGACGGTGGCCACACAGACAGCAGGCTTAACAGGAACCTGAAGGTCAGACAATCACCATCTTCCCCACGCCTGTGAGATGGATTGTCTTCCTCTAATTCCCAACATCGCTTCAAGATGTGCGTCTTAATCATGGCTACATAACCTTTTTGAGCTAAAGGCCACCTCTGGTTCTTGAGCAGGGTCTCCGGAGGTGCCACTGAATGGAAGAAGGGGAACCATGGATAAGATGAAAGCAAGAACAGGTACATCCGGGATGCAAAAACAGCAACTTGTTATTTTTCTTAAACTTCTTCATTTTGGAAATGTTGATTCCCACCCACTTATTCCTCCCTAAAAGCAAAAAGAGAGGTTTGTTGTAGCTTTCTAAAAACTGGCAGCAGCTGAGCAGAGGGCAAACCACGGTGGGGCGAAGGTATGGCTTATGCATCCCCAGATTTCAGTTAGTAAATGGAAATTATGAACCAACCTATTTGTGTGGGGCAAATTAAGCATCCACTCTTCTCTTGCTGTTGGAAATGAAATGGCCAACCCCCTTCCACTCAGCTGGACTAGCTGGCCTTTCCCAGGATCCAACGCAACTGATTGTCTTCCAACTCAAGTATATTTAAAAGCCAGGGGTTGCAACAAAGAACGGTTAAGCGCGTGGGATGCAGAAATGGGAAAACTTGCTTCTTGTTATTCTTCCCTTTGACTAGGGCCCGTGCCCTGCCTCTTCTGAGAACTCTGCATGGCCATCAACCTAACAAGGGCAAATTCTCCTGCTGCTGACCTTTTAAGACTGCAGTAATTTATCTAAGTTTACCCATAGTGACATGTGATCCCTGCTGGGGATTTAATTATTAACCCAGATTGTGCCAATAAAGCTGCAGGGTGGCAATTACTAGGTGGTATTTATGACCAGGTAGAAGTGCCTCTCGCGCTCTCTTTCCTTTTTCTTTGCCTTCTTTTATCCTTCCTGCTTTGCCTGGGTCCTGTTTCCATCATCTTCAGGGCCAAACAGAGGCTGTGGGTTGAGCGTGAAGGCAGTTTTGGGCCCACAGGCTAACAAAACAATGGACCTTTGGAACAACCCAGGTGGAATTCCAAGCCCCATGTTCTCTCCAAGGGGTGCCGCATAAGCAGGAAACAAGCCAGCCAGAGCTGTTATGATGCTTTTAACACCACTTTAATCTTCAGAAAGGCAATCTTCAGAATGGGTTTGTCTGTTCCTTGATCAAAAGTTTGTTCAAGATCTAGCTATTTTTATTCATGCTCGTAACAGAAGAACTTAGAGATGAATAGGGCCTTGTTGATGTAGAACTCTGGTTTGCGTTTTTGGTTGACATTGTTGTGGTAACTTTGCTCAAGAATCCAATTTGTTCTGGAAGAAGAAGTGGAGTTAGAAGCTTGGTAGATGCTAGATATGAGAATCATATCTCAGAGGTCTGAAGAGCAGTCAGATTGTAGCTGTGAATCCATTCACACACTGTGCTAAGCCAAAACCAAATATATTCTGGGTTTAGCATGACATGTAAACTCAGCCATTGTGACTTTTTGACAAACTATGGTTAACAAACCATAGCTTGTAATATAATGTGCAGAGCCAGACTTGTAATGTATTTCCTCCATGGATTTAATGGAATTGAGCAATTTATTCATTTATCGGGTTATTTATATCTTGCCCTTCCTGAAATTTGGCAGTCCTACCATCTGATCCTTGTGGCTTTTGGAACTGCGATTTAATGAAGGCGGTTCTTCTATTTTCTCCCCCTTCCCATCCCAAAAAATAGAAGGGAGAGACTGCTAATAAAGCTGCTCCATCACAAAATAATATTGCATAAAGAGGGGAGGGAAACATCTGTGCAAAAAACAATACGTTGGTTTAATGTATTCCGCCCCAAAATATGGCTGATGTGTTTAGATTTTGGAGACATTTTGTTCAAGGGCAATTTCAAATAATTCAGCCCTACGTTTGCAATCCTTTTTTCCTCTAAAGCATTGTTAAATCCATCGTGAATCATAACTAGGAAGTGCCTGCCTATTTGAGCTGTACTTAGTGCTGGAACCTCTGATTAACAAGGACATTTAAGTTACCACTCAGTTGTTTCAGGAGCTTTGTGAGTTCTTTTCTTTCTCAGCTCCACAGGATGCAGAGAAGTTTCTTTTTATAGCAAAGGATGGGGGGAAACCAACTTTCCTCTCCTTAGTTCAGAATTGGCCTAGGTGAGAGGACCTCCAAAGCCTTTTCACTTGATATTGCCTTTTTTCCAAACTTCTAAAAATGTTCCTCCCACCTTGGCTTTAAGAAGCCGCTTCTCTGCAACAATCTGCAGACGTCTCTTCTTGTTCATGAACGGGAAACTCCTTGGCTCATGACATTGAATGGATCCAAATTCCACTTCTCTTGGATCTTAGGTTATTTGGAGAAGCTGGAGTTCTAAAAAATATAAATTTTTAACCAACCCTGCCAGAGGGAATATCTGCAGACACAATTCCAACACTGTTTGCATATGTTCTGACCTGACCTGGCCTGTTCTTCTCAGGTTACCGACAAGAGAGGGAAAGACGCCCCTCTTCCCCCAGCTTCAGTCTTCTGCCAAGGTCTCTGTGGGTTTATTTTCCAACTGCAGAACTAACAGCAGCTGATAATTTTGAAAATGGCAAAAACCATTGTTTTGTTTGTTTCAGCTGAAGTTTCCAGAGGAACGCCAGGAAAATGTGACTAGATGAAACACGCACACACATGGGACTAATCTTTACCCCCTTGTGGATGACTTCTCAAATCAGGGCAAATGTTTACCTCTATTTGAAATGGGACAGGAAGGAGGACCTGGGTATTCCCCACCAGCAAGTCATGGAAAAGACCCAACCCTTTCTTATTTGAGAACCCTTTTCTTTCACTGGCTGTTGCATAGCAGCATTCCCCACCCCCCTTATTCCAAGTTGGTGATCTGCTGCCAATGGCATGAAGCCCCACCGTTGACTCCAGGGTTGGAAAGCAGGAAGAACAGCCAAGTTCTCCGATTGCCCCATTGGGGGCTGTATTTGAAGTGAACTGAAACAACGCTTAATAAGACTTTGCCGTGATGCTTGTTTATAGCTCTTAAGAGGCCCCTGGGAGGAGAAGAATCCATATCTTTGTAATCATGACATAAAATCCATAATGGTACGTCAGTTTTAAAGTGCCCCTTTTCTACTCCACTCATGCATTTATTAATTATCTGCTGGGGTTCTCCCCCACCAGGCAAACCATGAGTCAGTGCTACGGGGTCAAGGGCCAAGTATCACCTCATTTTCTTTTCGCTTAAACAGGCTTCTAGGTTTGTCCAGAGTGCAGAGGGTGAGGCTGACTCCAAACACATGCTGCTGTTGCTCCTTCTCTCTTGTGGATGAGCCCAAGTGTCCGAAGAACTGTTCTGTAGCCTGAGTCGCCAGATGGCGCACACACGCTATTGCTATCGGCTCTTGCTATGGAGGAGACCTGGGATCTTGGAAGAAACAGCATCGTGGTGCTGCTGTGGTGGTTTGGTTCAGCTTTGTTGGGGAAACTGAAGAAGGCAAGAGGACTTGGCCTCAAGAGGGTTGGTTCTCCAAGTTGCTTGGGAGACCAATCCAAGGGATTTTTGGAAATGAAAATGGGCACAGCTGGGCATCAGTTGCTGAATGATTATAATTGAAATGGAGCCATGTGGGAAAGGACCTGGCTGGCAATGCCATTAATTCTAATGCAGTTGATGGGCACCTTGTTGGGAAGGGCAGGTCTATATCCCCACATGCTGCAGATGCACTATTGGGGCGTTGATTTTTTGTAATGTTTTGATTGCATTTGATATGTGGAGCAAGTATTTTTGGTATAAGTAGGTTCCTTCAGAAAAGGTGACCATGTATATTGGCAACTCCCCCACCCCCTTGTATGTGCTTTCAACTTACATGGTTATAGTATGTGCATTATCCAATAATGTGTTTGAGATTCCACCTACATAACTAGTTTACCAGGGGCCTACAGTGTACTGAGCTATGGTTCAAAAAATGATGGTTGGTTGAATAACCTATGATTGTCTGGATTCACCTTATCCTAAGCCATAAAAACCAAGATTAACAAGGAACAGTAGCTAACATAAAATGCTAAACCAAAGTAAGTCGCACGATGGCTTGGCACAAGGAGTGAACTATATGAACATTAGCTTGTAAACATGACTGTTCCAGCTCATTTATGGATGACGATGATGACGATAACGATACGTTAAACGACACCAAGTCAGTTCTCCTGCCTGTCTCTTGCTGACTGCTCACCCCCATCTAAATCTCAGCCTTGTGCATTGTGTCTCTTGTTTTTTTCCTGGAGATGGGTGACTCTTGTGAAACTTTTTTTCTGAAATGACAATGTGGAAGCCGATATTACATGAGTGACTTGTAAATCAGAAAAGCGCTTAAGAAAACATTAAACTTCGTTTTATTCCCTGCCAATGAGTGAGTGTGTTTCTTTGATTTATGATCTTTCCCCAACTCATCTGGAAACGTTCAAAATACACAATAGATTTCCCAAAGGGGAGTGATCCAGAATTTAAGACGACTCTCCCATAAAAGCAGATTAGCTGCAAAACAAAATCTCATCTACCTCCATTACCCTAATCTCAGCAGATCCATGACTATTCTCCCCTTTTAAAGTTAAATTATTAGGTGGTTAAAGCTGAAGTGTGGGGAGTAAGTGGTTTTTCTTTCAGGCAGATACAGTTCAGGGGCAAGTAGGATTTAAGGCTGGAAAAGCTCCACCTACAGCTACTTCTCAATCTTGTCCTTCCTCATCTCCTGCCTATAAGCCAAAGTCTATTTTAACCAGCATGCTAAACCATACAATGGGATTTGTTAGATTTTGACCCAGCATCAGGGACACTGAAGCTCCCCTTAGAAAATGTGCAACGTGTGTAAAAAAAAGGGCCAGGTTTTGATATGCAGTTACAGTTGCCATCTTGACTTTTTCACTCCTCCATCTCTGACTAACATGCTGGGTAAACCCAGCCACTGTGATTCAGTAAGTGAGGGCTAAATAAACCATACCTTTATGCCAGGCCCTGATTAAGGCCAACTGGTGCCCTAAGCACAGCCCAACAATGGTGCCCCTCACAGAAGTGAAAATCTCATCCATGAGACAGAAGCAAATGTGATATCTGACCAACCTTCAAATCAAACTTTTAAACTTTAGTCACTCACCGTGCCAAAGAGAACATTTTTTTTTAACAATGCAGATTAAAGTTGAGCCTGGCAGATCAAGACAGTTGCAAAAAAATTCAACTAAAGCCAAGTGTGGCAGTGAAAGAGTTAAGGGCACGGTAGCTAGGGAGAAAAACTCCATGGTGCCCCCCTTCCCTAAACACGGGCTTATTTTGCTTAATCCAGAGCTGCTTTATGCAACAGGAAACCTTTTAAAAATGGGCTCTTTGCCTCCCGAAGTTTGAAGAGGCACTCTGAGATTGAGAAGGTCCAAGAAGACTTCCGGCCATTGACTCAGTTGAGCCAGTAGCCCTCCCTGCAGCCAAGGACAAGGCGTTCATCAGCATCTCTCTGGTGTCACTTACTGTGGAGGGAAAACAGCTTCCCAGCCAAGGCTGCCCCCTAAAGCTGGAGTCCTTGAATGGAAACCGAGGGAGGCTTCCTTGTGAGTAAAATCAAACTGGCCCGGATTCTGGAAAGGGAGGGGACGAAGAAGAGAAGTCAAGCTTCCTGCTAGCCAGCTACAGGTGGTGGCCTGATCACCATCGGATGCTGCGGCAAGAAGCGCTCTGATTGGTGGTTGCCGTGGTGACAGGCGCTGCTCCTGTTGCTGTGAACAGGATCTCAGGTTTGTATCTGCTGTTTCTAGGGTGGTTTGAGACCCGAAGGGTGACAATCGCTCCCTTAGAGATGCCAGAAACGAATCGCCGTGCAGGGGCCGGAGGGGGAG